GAGCAAGGATTTTAAGCAGGGGGATTAAATGAACAGATTTATCTTTTAGAAAGGTCACTCTGGAGTGTGGAGGAGAGATTAGAGGACTAGAGTGGAGGCAGAGAAACCTAACCAGTTACTGCAGAAGTCTTGGTTAGAGGGAAAGGGAGGAGGAGGAGGATCAAGATACACTAAGAAAGTAGAATGTGTAGAACTTGATTGTTTTTTTAGATGTGTTGGAAGTTGTCATTAAATGATGGTCCATTGTACTCAGAGATCATGATGTGTTTGTTTGGTTAGGCTAAATAAGTCTTAAAAATAGAAGATTCTTGCCCTGGCCAGTTTGGCTCAGCGGTTAGAGTGTCGGCCTGCGGTCCGGAGAGACCTGGGTTCGGTTCCCGCTAAGGGCATGTACTTCGGTTGCAGTTTGTCCCCGGCCCTGGTTGGTCGTGCGGGTGGCAGCCACTCGATGTGTCCCTTCACATCGATGTTTCTCTCTCTCTCTCCCTTCCTCTCTCTCCCTCCCACTCTATCTGTACAAAAAAAAATGGAAAAAATATCCTCGGGTGAGGATAAAAAAAAAAAATAGAAGATTCTTTCTTAAACTGGGTCATGAAGTATCTTGGGAGGTCTCTTGCATGTTTCTGGGTTGTTTCTGCTGCTTTGTGCTCCAGATGTATTTTAGGTTCCGGACAGCTTAGGGTTGCACACTACTCATGTTTTACAAACAAGCCAAACACATGGTTCTTTTTAAAAACCATTCACTCTTTCCCCTCCCACCCTCATGTCCTTTTCCTGGCCGATATCTGCCCAGTCTCCCCCTGCTAGTCCTGCCTTTACCTATCGTACTTTCCTTATCTTCTGATTAAATGAAAGAACTAGTCTCTTCACTTATTTGATATGTCATCTCATGGGTGCTCGGGTCTAGGGATTTCAGAAATCTAGCAGTAAGACGTGCCCTGCTAATGTAGAAAACCTGTAGGTCCACTCATTATCAACCCCCCACATGCCAGAGACTGTGTGTTGCATGTTCTGCAAAGTTAAACAAAGACAGTGTTGACCCTCTTGGAGCTCAACATCTGAAAACAAGCCTATAGAGAGAGAAACTGGCAAGAAGAAAATGTTAGAAACAATATCTACCTTAGATTTTCCACAGTAGGGTTTGGTTTGAGTTGCTGCTGCGGAGGTATGGCCGGGCGTCAGTAGTCTTCATAGCTAACGCTAGCACTCTTTATGCTTTAAAGATGTAAGATGGAGCATAGTAGTTGAAAGCCTGGGTTCTGGGGGTCTGACTTCCTGGCCCTGCCTCTTATTATAAATGTGACCTTGGCCAGATGACTTGATCTCTGTGATCCGCATCATTGTCTGTAAGATGAGGATAATAATAGTGTCTGCCCTAGGGTTGCCGCAAGGACTAAATGGCAGTTGTATGTGATGTGCTTGGCACACCTGCTGACAGTGCAGTGGTGATAGATGCGCTCTGCAGCCAGAGTGCAGGCTCCGAGGAAGGGTGTGCTCCGTGAGTCCAGGGGCCGCTGCTGCCTTCCACATGGAAGCTGCTCTGGCTAGCCTGAGATCCTTTGTAGTCACGTTATCTTAGTCGCACAGAAAATGATGGATCGTGCTTTCTCCGGGACCAGTTAGTTTTTCAAGTTTTCAAGTCACCTCTTTAATTATGTCATATACGTGATTGGTTGTTGCTTCAGGACATTTCCAGAAACAAGTTTGAAGCCAGCAAGTGGCAGGTAATACCTTAGAGGAGATTCAGGCATTGCTGTCTCTCCAGAACTTTCCTTTAATAGCCATCATGTCCCTCTTCAGTTGAGTTTCACACCTATTCATTGAGCACCACTATTTTTTAGCTCTATGTTGGGCTTCAGGGATACAAGGATGAACTAAGTTCCATCCTCGTGAAACTTAGTGTAATGGGAATATACGCACAAGTCCAATGCACTGCGATGCAAACACAAATGAAAGTGGGCAAAAGGTTAGAGTGGTACCTGGGAAGAATCATAAGAAAGTTTCACAGATTTGGTGACATCTCAGTAGAGTTTGTGTGGAATAAGAGTAGGGAGAGTCATCAGGTCAGCATGGTGTGTACAGGACAACTGGACCACATATGTGTAGGGGGTGTGATTGGAGATGAAACTGAAGGTGCAGACAGGAGCCTGGTCATGTAAGAGCTTGGCCTTTATCATGTGGACATTGGGGGCTGCGAATGATTTTAGATGACAGAATGCTGTAAGATTTACATTTTTAGCAGGATCATTCCAGCATGGAAGATGTACTTGAGAAGGATGTTGGAGGTGCAGGCAGGTTCATGTCCCCACTGCAGATTTATTAAGGCCAGTGACCGAGTCCTCTGTACTTCTGTATCCTTGAAGCCTAATACTTCTTAGACATTTAAGAAATGTTTTAGAGCAGCAGTTCTCAATCTGTGGGTCGCGACCCCTTTGGGGGTTGAATAACCCTTTCACAGGGGTCGCCTAACACCATCGGAAAACACTATTTCGATGGCGATTCATAACAGTAGCAAAATTATAGTTATGAAATATCAATGAAAATAATTTTATGGTTGGGGGTCACCACAACATGAGGAACTGTATTAAAGGGTCGCAGTATTAGGAAGGTTGAGAACCACTGTTTTAGAGTAAAGACTACCCAAGTTGAATTTCCCAGGCCTGCATCCTATCCTCAGAACATGCTGACCTAGACCTCCATCCGTCATAAGCAGCTTTACTAAGACCATAATAAATTCTTTTTCCTTGGTATTCTTTTAACTGGCACTCTCTATTTACTCGCCCCTCTGCGCAGCTGTAGTGTGGCGATGATTGATGCTTACAACTCTGACCCTGAAGTACTTCAAGCCCTCTAAATCATCAAAAGCAGATTAAAGTATATTCAATATCACTGTAATGTTTGTGTGTTTTACTGCATTCTTATTCTTTGGAAACTCATGATTTATCGTGTGCCTGCGCACTAGTTCGCACATAAGCACAGCGACAGCCCGTGGCACCCACACCTCAGCCCTCCTGCCCACCGCCTGCCAGGCACAGCGAGTTTATCAGCAATGCATGCCTAGAAATAAGCCAGCACAACAAGCCTGGTTTTCCTCTTTCCTAGGAGGAAGCAGGTTGGCCCCCAAGGGACAGAGTGGACAGAGATGAGAGGGAAGCAGTGGTCAGAACTATAGTGGAAGTGATAACACACAACCTGGGCAGACCAGCAAGTCGGGCGGTTTACAAGCGAGCCCACGCTGGGGCCCAGCCCAGGAAGAGCAGGCCCAAGGCAGGAACACCAGCTTTGCAGTCTTGTGGCCTTGACCCAAACCATCAGGCCTGGACTTGGCAGCAGTGTCCACCAGGTATATTTCTGTTACAGTAACAACTGTTCAGCAAAATGCCGAACTACAAGTGAAAACATCAGTAATTAGAGCATCCTGTTCCCCACACTCACACGTCTTTCCATGAAAACCGTTGCTACTGTGGGACTGATGATAAGATTCGGCCCAGAAGGAGGAACTCCGATGGGGGCAAAACTCCATTTTGTAACCTGGCTTCTGGGGTGGGGGGAAGGCATCTGATGTTCTTACCAGGGGGTAGGCTGGCTGTTTGGATTCTCTTTGGGGGTGTATATTGCAGTAAGTAGAGATGCCTCTTACTTTCCATTGTACAGATTTGCTTTTCAAATCTGTGTGTGGTCAACAAGTCATGCCTGTGTCAGGTGCCTCACTCATTGTCTCAGCCTGGAGAGCCAGACCCCAAAACATGGGATTCTGTTTGTCACCCTCTCGGCCAGGCACAGGTGGACTTAGAGCTAGCTTTACCATTTGCCAGCTCTGTGATTTTTGGTGAGTCTCTTAGTACCTCTGGGTCTTAGTTTTTCTTTTTCTGAAGTATTGGAATAATATAAATCCCTTCTTTGCAGGGTTGCTGTGAGGCTGAAATACAATGCTAGATGTGAAACTGCTTAAGTGGGAAGCCCTATATGCATAATAGTATACTAAAGAACATGATAAATATTCTAATTAAAATAGAAATGTTTGATCAGCAAGCACAGTGTCCTTAAAAATTTCCCCAAAGTACAGTGGGGGAAGTGAACTATTTATTGAATTCCTACTGTAGAGGAGATGTTCTGGCTGCTTCTGCATCCTGTCCACAAGCTCATGTTAAATCCCTCTTTCAGAGATGAGAGGCTGAGCTTCTTGTCACACAGCTGTACATCCACATACCACACGTGGGCTGTGGACCTGACTCCAGAGCTTAATGCTCTTCTCTCTAGCCGTCTGTCTTATTCCAACCCTCCCTCCTCCAAAGTTCTTAAAAGCTGTTCACGTCCTTTGGGGCTGGGAAGTTGCCATTTCTTGGCCATCCACTCCTGCAAGTGAGCCAGGAGGAGTTGAGCTCCAGGAGCCTCTGAGGGGTCCCACAGCTCAGGGAGAGCTGGTGCAGGGCACACTCAGGCCCACCTTTACGGAGTTGGCCAGGCCTGGACCAAAGCAACGAGGCAGGGGGGCCCCTTCACTGGCCCTTGAGGGAAAGGCTATGGACCTGTAGTTTCCAGAAGTTCATTCTTCCTCTGTCCAAGTGTTTTTCAACCTCACGGAGGTCGTTTGGTGAGCTGCTGCTTGGATCCTTCTCCTGGGAATCAGTGCCTCCTGTGCATTCTGACCGGCTCCTTGTTCTGCTTGCAGAGGGAGTGAGATTAAATTCCCTCCATATAGTAACTGCTCTGCTGAGCTTTTCTGGGACCCTCTTGTTACCTTTGATGCCAGGTATTGGGGGAAAGATCCCTGAGGTGGCAGTTCATTAACTGCCCAGTGGAACCCACCACTGTATGCATTTTCTTTCATACATAAAGTTTTCCCAGTTCCAGACGTCGGCTTATGAACCGGAGCTGCCCACACAGAACCGGAGTAAGGCCTATTGAAGGGCCACATTGAATATTCAAGGAGGATGTCGGTGTGGGGGAAGCATTTGTTCAGACTGGATCTGAGGGGAGTTGTGTTCGTGTTTCCATAGGTTCTCAACAGGAGGTGCGTAGAGGCGGCAGTGATGACAGGCCTGGCACTGAACTGCCACATAAACAAGAAGTCCTTGTTTGACAGGAAGCACTACTTCTATGCGGACCTCCCTGTAAGTATGCTCTGTGAGGGCCCTCTGAGTTCTCGGCGCCAGGGCTGGAGCAGGAGGGCCGTGCCTGGTGCTTTCCATCCGAGCTCTGTCCATCTCAGCGGGAAGTTCTGCCCGGCCCTGATGAAGGCAGGTGCCCCCCGATGTTTACTAGATTGGATGTAGTTGTCCTGATTGCTGACTCCTCGCTTAGCCTCATGCTTCTGGTGGCTCACTCTTAATTGAACGGGGAGTAGGAGAAGCCCGTGTTCCCAGGCTCAGCCCAGCCATGGTGTTTGGCGCTAATTGCCTGTTAGGACAGAAGCTAACTCTGGGGCTGACGCAGCGGTAAATGCGTACTGTGGCTCTGTAGACGCAGTGAGAACGTTCCTCTTTTAAGTTGAAGTTCCCAATAATAGGACTGTCACTTTTGGAGACATTTCTGTCATCTCACAAGGAGCAAGTAAGTGGACAATAGGAAGCACAGCCATGAGCCAGAAGCCCAGACTAACAACAGGAGTCAGCTGAGCAGTAAACCCAACGTTAACCTGTAAAATTAGAAAGCGTTTTTCAGAGAAGCCAGTGTGAATGAGAGCCCATTTTTACAACATCGAACAGAACCAAAACTGTAATGTTGAACAAGTTTCCCCAAATCATGTTTCATTTGATCGGAGCCTCTGATACTAAGTACGTCCTTCTTCAGACTTAGACAAACATTGGTGATATTTCTTTCCATTCTCCTTGAACTGGAGACTGGGGTGAGCTGATTTTTAGTGGGTGAGAGCGAGAGGAAAATTAAATAAAAAATACTACTAGAACCTTACTTCTTCGATTGCTGCTGCTTTTCCCCTCTGACTGCCAGCCTTTCAGCAAATTCTCCTGTGTCATCGGGTGGACAGCGTGAGCCTGTATTCTTGCATCTTTAAGAGTGATGACCAGTTTGGTTAAGGCAGCCGACTTAGCAGTATGCGACTACAATGAGAAGTTTGATTATCTGTGTATTTCTATTCTTTCTTGCCCAGGTATCTCAGATGATCCAGAGTTAGTGTTGCCAAATATTACATGGGACATAACTTACACTAAAAAAGTATTCGTTATTTATCTGAATAAGCAATTTATTGGAATTATTCTAATTTGAATTTAATGAGCATCCTGTGTGTTTTTTTTTTTTTTAAATCCTCACCCGAGGACATTTTTCCATTTTTTGTTCAGATAGAGCGGGAGGGAGAGAGAGGAAGAGAGAGAGAGAGAAACATCGATGTGAAGGGACACATCGAGTGGCCGCCACCCACACGACCAACCAGGGCCGGGGACAAACTGCAACCGAGGTACGTGCCTTTAGCGGGAACTGAACCCGGGTCTCTCTGTACCGCAGGCCGACACTCCAACCGCTGAGCCAAACCGGCCAGGGCACATCCTGTGTTTTATTTGGCAGCCCTGCTCAGTTTAATTTTTACACACTGAGACTTCCTGTTTCTGCCCAGAGAATGAGTTGGCCTAAAGCAGTGGTTCTGAAAGTGTGGTTCCTTGGGCCACTGGCATCTCCTAGAAACTTGTTAGAATATACATTTTCAGACACCACCCCAGACCTGCAGAATCAGAAATTCTTCAGGTAAAGCTAGTCTGTGTTTTGACCACGTGATTTTGAAGCAGCTGACATTTGACAAACACTGACCTGGTGGCTAGGAGCAGACTCTTGAGCCAGACCATCTGAGTCCAAATCCTGACATTGATGCTTACTAGCTTGATGACTTTGGGCAAGGCCCTTAATCCCTTCAGTGCCCTGTACCTTCTTGCCTGGATTGTCATGAGGATCAAGAGGTGTAACGTACTGAGAACACAGTGTCAGGGACCCAGCAAGGGCTGTTCTCTGTTCTTCTCCAGCCCTCCGTCTCTTTATCATGTGTCGATGCAATGCATGTGTGCATTTGGAAGTAATTCTCTCCACTTAGAAGGAGGTGAGGGAGTCCTTGCGACATCCCTCAGTGTTTTAGTACCGTGTGCTTTCCGTTAGCTGAGTGTGAGTGTCCCAGCATTTTCTGGCTCGAGGAACAAGGAAAGTTGGGTCAGGGAGGGCAGCTGGCATGATTGGTTAGCTTAAACAACAGGAACAAAACAAGCTTATACATACTAGCAACTGCTGTCAGCCACACTGAGCGTAGATAGCAATATGCTTAGCCAGCACTTCCCAATAAGGGGGGCCTGTGAGGAGCCCAGTAATGAGATGCAGGGTTAGGCTAATGAGCTAAGTGGAAACAATGCATTCTTTTCTTAGAGGCCTCTGACAATGAGATTATTGTTATTCCCCAAAATGGTACTTCAGTAGGGAAGATAGGCTTTATGTTGTTTATTGCATCATTATTTGGGGCAGGAGGTGTCCAGGGGAGGGTAAAGGGGGATGGGAAAAGCCAGACGAGGCCTGGCTAAATTATGGCTGCAAGGCATTAACTAATTTTTTTTTTTTTTAATGTTGCGTTTTTGGGTAAGCCTATAGTTTTGTGACATCAACAGGAATAGTAAACTGGACCCAGCTTTTCTGTGTGGACTAGTGACGGTGTAACCCATGTTTGTGTGCAGGCAGGCTACCAGATTACCCAGCAGAGGCTCCCGATCGCTGTGAATGGGAGTTTGGCATACAGTGTCTGTGTGGGGAAGAAGCCGAGTCGGGTGATCAACAAGACAGTGAGGATCAAGCAGATCCAGCTGGAGCAAGACAGTGGCAAGAGCCTGCACGACGACCTGCGGTCCCAGACGCTCATTGACCTGAACCGGGCAGGTAGGCTGAGTCTCCATCACTTTTCCCCCAGTGTCCCAGCCCCCCCTCCAAATTCCCCAGACAGGCTGAGGACACAGGCCCAGGAGCCAACACGTGGAGATCAGAATATCAGCACTGGCACTGGTGTAGCTGATCTGAGAACTGTGGCTACTGTTGGCTTGCTAACCGTCCACCCCTAAAACGAGACAAATGTAGCCACCTAATCACAGACTCTACAGCTTGCTATCTCAAGCAAACTTTAAAAGAAATGAACCAGTTCTAAACATGAGGGCAAAGAAAGAAGCAGTTCGGAGGCTGGGACCCACTTTGAGAGTCCTTTTAGTGCAGGGTTTTCCAGAGACTTCAGCCTAACTTATCTGCTGCTCAGATTGGAGAGCTCAGTCCTCCGGCTGACTGCCTCTCGTTTGATAGGAGTTGGCCTTCTGGAAGTGGTCCTGGAGCCCGACATGTCCTGTGGAGAAGAGGCCGCAACAGCCGTCAGGGAGCTGCAGCTGATACTTCAAGCCCTGGGGACCAGCCAGGCAAACATGGCAGGTAGATGCCCACAGGCAGTGACCCTCCTTCTTTACCTTCTCCCTTTCTGCTTCCTGAGTCTCTTTGCACTTAAATTTTAGTCTCCACATCAGCTGTACAGAGATGGTTTACATCCTTTTCTCAGCCTTTTGCATTCCTGGTCATTTTGTTTTGTTTTTCTTAGAATTTTCCTTGGATTCTTTTTCAGGCCCTTAGCCAAAATAAATACACTACCAACAGCAGTGCAGAGGCACTGAGCCCAAGCACGGGAGATTGGGAGTCACAGGAGCAGTGCTTTCTCTGGCTTCGTGCAGCAGAACGTTGGGAGGGTCGATGGAACCATGAGTTTGAACAGTTTGTCTTTCTCAGCGAGAAGATGCTGTTTATCAAGAACAACCCTTTGTGAGTGCTGTGTGGGTGGCACTTCTTTGTTAGTTGATGCTTTTCCTTTGGGTCTCTTCCTTTTCCTTCTTTTGTAGAATTTTCATCCATGTGCCGCTAAAACCAAATGATATAAACTATAAGCTCAGGTTATGATTTCACAACACTTTAACTTGGAGATAAAATCTTAAGTTCAGTAGAAATATAGTAGGAAATTAAAATAAACAAGTAAACTTGTATCCTTGGGACCAAACAAACTATGCATCTTACGTATTTGCACATTGAACGCAGAGATCACAAGTGCTGGCTAAGCTCTGTTTCCTCATGGCTTGCCCCCTGGGCCCCTTTCTGTGCTGCTTTGCTGAGCAGAGCCCCTGAAAGCCAGTCTCTCCCATGGTTTTCTTCCTGTTTTCTATTCCCAGGGGCTTTTAAAAAATGTCTGCCACCCACAGAACACTCCCCGAAAAAGTGGAGAAAAGATACAGATTCTGTATGTACAATTATTAATCTGTAGCTCACTACAGTGGTGTAAGAGGGCTCTCCAGAGAAACAGAACCTACAGAATGTGTGTATGTTATACATGTATGTTTATATACAATGGCATTTGTTACAAGGAACTAGCTCATGTGATCATGAAAGCTGAAAAGTTCCAAATCTGTATTTAGGAGGCTGCAGAAGAGCCCTTGCATGAGAACAAGCCCCAGGAGAGCAGCTAAAGTAGTCCCTGTTCAGGTGCAAAGGCCTGAGAACCAGGACAGCTGATGGTGTAAGTTCCAGTCTGAGCCCAAGTCCAAAGCAGGAGAAGACCGATATACCAGCTCAAAGACAGTCAGGCCGAGAGAGTGAGGTCCCCCCACTCTGCCTTCTGTTCTAGTCAGGCCTTGAATGGATTGAGTGATGCCTACCCACAATGGGGAATGCAGTCTGCTTTACTTAACCTATGGATTCAACTGGTAATCTCATCCAGAAACACCCTCAGACGCACACACAGAATTATATTTAATAATATCTGGGCACCCCATGGCCTGGTCATATTCACACATAACATCAGCCATCATGAGTGTCACAGTGGGTACTGGTACATACCGCTGATGGTGACGATTCATCTTCCTGCCAGTTTATGATGCTCTTTACCAACGTTTTTATGTCATTGAATATAGTTTGCTGCCAAAGGGCTTCTGAATGTGTGATGCCACATTTGTCACATAGGACATCTTACAAGCAACAAACTGTTACATCAGGGCCCTGGTACTGGTATAAGCTGATTCTGAAGACAGAAATTGCTGATTTGCGATCTTCTTTAAGCTAAAGACTAGAGAAACACTGGCCACATGAGTGAGTGGCATGAAGAGGGCCACCTGCAAGGTTGCTTTAGGGAAATGAGGCTCCGTTTCAGAGTAAGAAGACTGTTTTAGATCTGTCATTCATACAGCTCTGACCCGCAGAACATCAGTGAAATATGGGCAGGTTGCGTGGTGAGCCAGTCATGCACTAAGTGTTATTCTCTAGTGCTTTAAAAAAGTTTTTATTATTCCATTCTTCTTCAAAATAACTGTGATTTCTACCAAACCTATGGAATAATGAACAGGCAACCTATTAGCTGAGAAGTAACCCCACCTGGGACCTTGCCAAGAGGTAAATCATAATGATAAGAATGCTACTGGAGGATTCATTAAATCTCATTGCTGTGATACTTTTTGTTGCATTTAAATACAAGTCCAACAACTTTGCCTGTAGCACAGCAGCCGAGTGGCTGTGGTGGTTCCAGGGGGCTGTGGGGAGAGGATGTCTGCGTAGCGTCTGCAGGGTCAGCCCCGACCCCTTTACTCCCAGCATTGTGGGACCACTGTGTGGGCACTGGAGACTCCGGCCACTCTGGGAAGGCCAGTGGACCCCCAAGGTGCTTTGGGAATGACTCTTAAATTCCTCTGGGCTGTGATTCAGTGGGTTCCTGATAGTTTTGCTGATGAACACAGACCAGCTCAGCCTGGGTTCCAAAAGTCATTTCCTCGTCAGTGGACTTCTGCCACTGTTGAGATCCTCAAAGTGGTCTGTTGAGTTGAATGTGTACTGATGTAGGCACACTAAATGTTTCAGGGGTAATAATATTGTTCCGTTTGACCATGGAACATGTGCTCGTTGGTTCACTAAGCATTTTCAAAATTAATTTATCATCTCATTTAAACTTGACAACATTCCTGAGAGAGGAGTGTTGTTATGCCTGTTGTACTGGTGAGGAAACTGAGGCCTAGGAGCTTGGGTTATTTGCCCGAAGTTCACAAGAAGTGCCTGAGCTAGGGTTTGAGCCTAGGCTGTTGGACTCCATCCAAAAGCCCTTTCCTGAAGCGCCACATCACACTGCCTCCTAGTGGCAACCGCCATGGTGTCTTAACGCCCGATCCCAGCTTGGAAAGAGTACAGCAGAGCGTGGGTGCCGTGGGTGCCGTGGGAGCCGGTAGCCCAGGGTCCCAGACGGGGTTGGAATCCTGACCTGCCGCTGCTAGCTGTAGGAACCTGGGCAAGGTATTTGATTTCTCTAGCCTCAGTGCCCACGCTTACAGAGGGAGTCCCAAATAACTGTGGATGGAAAGGGAGAGGAAGAAACCAAAGAGGAAAGAAGTCATCCAATCTTCGGATGGAGTTGGGGCAGCTGGATGGTGTCCCTGAGACAGGCGGTGGTCTGCTGAGACAGGGAAGATTGCGGGAGCAGTACCTTTGTGGGAGAAAATCTGGAACTCCATTTTCATGTTGTTTGAAATGCCTAAGGATGTCTAAGTGGCTTTGCCATTAAACTAGATTGTAGGGGATGAATGTGATCATGTGTATCGAACTTACCACAAGTCCTGACAGATAGCCTGTGCTCACTGTCTTAGGTATTTTTAACAATAGTAAGTAGTATTACTTTTACAGAATCACCACTCATTTTAGATGAATATGCTCTGTGAAATACGTTTCATAAAATTTGGCCACTTTTCCTCTTTGTCAAACCTTGTTATTAAGTTCTGGAGAGTATTCAGTGATCAGAATGAGATAGCTTAACAGACTTCTCACGAAATCCTCAGGCCCCTGCTGTTTACAGAAACAGCTTTCCATCCTGATGTTATATTTCTGATGTGTGAAAATGTTTTAGAAAAAAAGTAATGTAACTACGATATCACTGCACTCAGTGGTATAGTTCTTTAGCTTTGCTGTTACAAATCTCCGCTTCTACAGGGTAAAAATTGAGCTTGGTGACATTCTCACGATACGCGAACGAAGGCCCTCCCTTGGTGCTACAGAACCTGACTGGTAAGGCTTTTGTGCACTTGAGGCAATTTAACTTAATTTGTTTAAAAGGCATTTTGTCTTCACTGGATAGAAAGTCTTTTGTTAATGTTTGATACTGTATTTGAATCCAGGCTAGGGAACTCTCTTTCAACACTGCGGGATACTAAATGATTCCTCTCAGACATTTATGTAGTGTGGTCTTCTCTGGGAGAGACGGAAATTCATGCTTTTATTCCATTTCCAAATTAGAATTCTAAATTGTGAAAGATGGTTTCATTCTTAAAAGAAAGTGAGGTCCAATTCAGGGTTCCCTGAGTTCGAACAAAGTTGTCTCTCAGGCATTGAAATTTGGTGGAGCAGAGCTCAGCACACTTGGGAAGTTTTCCTCTGAGCTGAGAATTCCAGCTATAGATTAGTCCTGTTTAGACAGAGCTTTAGACTTTATCAGACCCAGAGAGACAGTGACCAGTCTGCTTACTCATTGCTCAGGAAAAGGCCAGTTTGGCTTGTTCAGTATGGTATTAATTTATTGAGCAGTTACTGTGTGCCAGGCCCAGCTCTGGGTTCTGAATGGAGCAGCGAAAGGACATTGTTCCTGCACGGTTCACAAGCTTCTTTCACGAGGGAGGAAAATCCACGAGCAAATAAAACAGTTACAGTGATGGTGCATTAAGGAAATGAATAGGGCGCCATGGAAGGTGAAGGCCTCTCAGCGGGGGCAGCTCTTGAGGCCTGAAGGATGACTCCAGGCCCAGCCAGCATCGAGCCCGGGGATGAGCATTCCAGGAAAGAGCTAAGGCAGAGTCCCTGCAAGAGGAAGATCTTAGGGTGTGCTCAGAGGTAACATCGCGACAGAAGCCCGCCACAGGGGAGCAGAGCGAGCAGGGGGACGTGCCGCAAGTGAGCCTGGAGAGGTGGCCGGGATGGGCTGCTGACAAGGGCGGGAGTGTGGGTGTCATCCCAAGTGCATGGGAAGCCGTTGTGGGGTTCCTAAGCAAGGGAGTGACTCGGTCTGTGTAACGTTTTAGAAAAGCCACTCTGCTTTGTGGAAAGTGGATTTCCAAAGGGTAAGAGGAAGCAAGGAGACCGATTAAGAAACTTGTAGTGTTCAGGTGGAAGATGATGCTTTTGAGGACAGGGCTCATCAGGGAAGATGGAAAGATCGAGACGGAGATTCAAGATGGCTTTTAGAAACAACAGGATTTGTCAACAGGCTGGTATGGGAGGCAAGGGACAGGAAAACATAAAACACGCCTTTAAGGAAGGCTGAGGAGCTAGGTTGACCCGGCCCGCAGGTCGATCAACGAGGACCCTAGAGGGGGAGTGAGGATGAGGTGGGACAAGAGACACGAGAAATGGAGACAAGACAGGAT